CCCTTAACCCCTCTACCCCCTCCCCCCAAACAAAAAAAAAAACAAGGAAAAGAGATAGAATTCCACCTTGGTGAACTGAGACATGCCAACCAATCTACCATTCAATGAATGAAGTCGCAGAACAGGATTTTCATCAACCAAATAATATCCCACAGACTGGCCTGACTTCGAGAGCAGGTTCTCTTTCACGACCAATGGTGGCGTATTGCCGAAACTAACGCAGTCACAGCCCAATGATCGATCAGCATCCTCTCGGAGCACTCGACTCGGCCCTTTTTTGTTCACATGGACGCATGTAGTTCATTCACAGATCTCCGATCATCGCTCCCCATATATACAATACAGTACGGATTACTGAGTTTCATATGCTCATGTCATTTTCGGTGCATCGCACACAATATGAAAATGGCTCAGAACGGCTTCGTATAATCCGCCGGATGACAGCCTCATTCTTTGGGCAGAGCAGTGCCCAACTAATCTCCTCCTCACCCATAACTGTACAAGAGGAGGAGGATAGGGATCTCCCTTCCCATCCGACCACACCTCCTACCGTCTTCCCCACCAATCGCCTACTAAACTCCCAACAGACTACGCATCTGTTGTCACGCCGTACAGCTGTGGCACAGTGCTTCTACAACATGTGCACACTTATTCCAACCGGACGTCGGTATATATCAGTTGTGGCACAGCTGACCAGGAACGCCCTGATTGCGCTGTGCGTGCATCTCTGTGAATTATAATTCGCTGCCAAAAAAAAACAAAAAAACAAAAAAAAACAGGTCACTGCAATGGCAGAACAATAACAACGGATAACAAATCTCATGTCCAAAAATCGACAGGAGACTCGAGCATTCTTCTACCAATAAAACCCTAGACCGTAGGGCAGAACCTTTCTTTCTGATCATCAGTTGCTACCGCACCATTCCGTGTTCTGCCACGCCTGTAAGTCCACAGGCGTTCCATCGGAAAAGCTGCAAATGGCACAACAACAATATCAAACAGCGCATCGAAGGCATCGAAGGTCTGTCTGCCTTTCCGCTTTCCAACGACCATCAGTACACGACCTTGGCAGAGGATCGCACGAAGCGCACGAGACACAGACCCACACGATCAGAGCAATCCTTCCTCACATCTGGACCAACTCTACGGCCATCCATCGGGAACAAATACAAGAAGATGCCGAACAGCTCAGCTCTCGTCAATTGCAAACTGCATGGCTATCGACGTAGAGCAAAGCTCCAGTACTTCAACGTCCGGAACAAGCGCACGACAAGATGCCCGACCGATCAGCTCCGCTTCTCATCAACGCCAAAACTGCATGGCTATCGATGAAGAGCAAAGCTCTGGGACCGAGGGGGCAAAACGCCCTGAAAGGGTAAACCGAAGATGCCTCCTCTAGAGATTTTTTACCACAAAGGAGCGAAGCCGCTACAGTCCTCACAACGGTAGGAGTGCTGCAGCAGTGCCACAGCAGTGCTCACACCGTCAAGTCCCTCTGCTAGGTTCCGTGACCTGTCAAAGCACCGTTATCATCATTGCCAACTGCGCACCTCCCCTCCTCGTGATGGCCAAAAAGAATTTGTAGCACGCCGATCATACGCGCACTTGTACATAATCCTCAAGTTTATACATCTACAATCCTGGATATACCCCAGTCTGCAGCAATGCAGAAGAAAGAAGCAAACCAATCATCCAAAAATGAAGTCATCCTAGTTCAGCCACGGGCCGCCTGCTGCCCGTGTGCATGACTGTGTATTATGTAACCTGCAGTTGCCATGCATGCAACCTGAAGCTGACCATTGCCTACCTATGTCATCCCCTACACACTGCCAGCTTCGTGACGTCCCACATTCACAGGCAGATGCACACTACACAAACCCCCCACCCTTCTCTCTCTCTCTCTCTCTCTCTCTCTCTCTCTCTCTCTCTCTCTCTCTCTCTCTCTCTTTTTGAAGACGCACCCTTACCTCTCTCTCTCTCTCTCTCTCTCTCTCTCTCTCTCTCTCCCCCCCCTCTCCTTGGTACACTCAACGACCACCCTTCAGCTCTGCCTCTGCACACATATCCCCTCCCAACCCCACAAACATGCATTCACAACCGGCCATAAGAATGAAAAGATGCGGGCCCTGATGGCATTCATCAGTCCTGCCGTAGTGGGCCTTGGCTACACTGCAGAGGCATGCCCGCATCAGCCAAAGTCTGTACAAACCTAACCTACTACTAGGCTGCAGGGTTAATTTTTTTCAAGAAATTAGTTAGCAGATTGAAGATAATATGGCAATTTGCAGCTCCAGTGACACCGCCTACCCAAGACGTAATCCAACTGAAACTGCCATGAATCGACCACATATATATAATACAAGACGGGGACGAAAGCCCGGGCAAGACCAGGAATAAAGCAACATACCCTCTATAATTCTGAAGAAAAAATGCACAATACGGACCACCATGCGATTCATTTGCCAATCAACCCTTGAACAGATGAGCAAAGGCAACCACAACGACTCACACATCCTCACAACCTATTTCAGGTGAGATGTTCTACCTCAGATGCCCGCATACAACTCCTCTCTTCTCTGACCGGCATGCCAGCAGTAGAGCCATAACACCTCCCTCCTCTGCTTCCCTGCAGACTCTCTTCTTCAAAGATCCTTAGACACCTCACTGCCAGATGCCTTGACTATCTGCCACAGCAGCACAGCCACAACAACTCCCTCCTCTGCGTCTCAGTAGATGCTCTTCTTCACAGATCAGTGCCATCACTGCCACAATGCAACGACTGCCTCGAGCATCTTCCGCAGCACAACCACCACTCATCTCAACACTCCGAAACACCCACCTACCGCAGTTGCAGACAATCAAGTTCACGAAGGGTACCAAACGCCACCTTCCTTGAGAAGAGACTCCTCGAGAATATCATTGTCCTGGCCTCGCCAACCCTCTACCACAGAAGACCCAACCATACTTTCCAATCCAGCGCCGCCAGGATCGAGGACATATTACCAACGCAGAGCACCCAAAAAATCCCAGTTGCACATCCGTTGGGACTGCAGCATCGGATCGAACTGTGCATCAGCTCACCGGCACCTCAGCGAGGGAACCCATTCTAGCTCATCTCAGGCCACGAGGTGAGAGCGCAAACGATGGTGGAATGGCCTGCCTTTACAGAGAGGAATGGGTGGCAGATGGATCACATGACCTAAACATAAACTCTCCACCACATGCAGTGCATCTCCCGTGTACCGCCACAGGACAAGGTAAAAGGTAATCCCCGATCCGAAGGAACAAGGCGGGGTTGGTAGAGCACCGCAATGTATCAGGCAAAACCACCATTGCCCGGAAAAGATGGGCTTGCTGTGCACCAACTGGGTGGAGACTTTCCGAGATTGGAGATCGCCGCCGTGTTTCCGGCCACGAACCCTTTGGGCGGCGGCATGCACACGTAGTGGTCACAAAGCTTCGGGACTTGCGCTTCATCTTCCACCTCTGAAGAAAATGTACACATTAGCCAATTTGCCCTCAGCTGTCCATGTACAGTCATCCCGAACGTCCTTTCCTCCTTCCCTCAACCTGATGTGGCCCGTTCGCAACTCTAAACCACCGTGAGAGACGTTGCCGCTCAAATTCCACCGCCAACTCCGCAGCCTTGGCAGACTCTGCACCTCTCTGAGCGATCCCGTGAAGAGGTAGAATCGGTGACAATGTGGGCTCTAGTTCTGGCTCCGCGACAAACTCGACCAGGTCACCGGTGTGAAGCTTCTGCGACAAATCCTCCACAAGATAGTGATTGACTAGCGGTCGGATCACTCCCGGGGGCGTATCCATGACTGACGACATACCCAGAACACGTTCGCTCACCAAGTCCGACGCAGTAGAACCGCCTGGAAGCTCCTGGACTTGCATCTGAAGGAAGTTCCAGCAATGCAAATTTCAAACGCATGCAGCTCGGATCAGCGACAGAACTAGACAGCGCAGAAATGGACAGAGGACAGTCAACAAGACAGGGCAGAAAAGGACCCCTACTTCTGTTCTTACTTTTTTAACTTGCATTTCTTCTCCAGCGTAAACTGCAGCCTTTTTTTCAGGCCATCAGCCAGGTGGCTCTCTGCGAGGGAACGGAAATCTTGCGAGGAGAGAAAAGGGCAACAATAGCTCATTTGATTTTCCAGCATGAGTGCAAACCGTGAGAGCATCCCCTATCACTCCTTTACCACTTCGCGATTTGAATGTAGAGGTGTCAGGATCCTTCAACAGACAAGAAAAGAAAAGAAAAAAGAAAAGGAAAGAAAATACATTCTTGGTTTGCAACTTTGCACTCATATGAACACCTGGCTTGTGGAGCCACAGGCGTTCATAGGCATGTTGCCTCTTCTACTTCAAGAGAGAGAAAAAAAAAATAAAAAAAAAATAAAAAATGAAAAGAAAAGAATTTCTCAGGAGGCCGGATTTCAGGAGGTTCTGCAAGAGCTGTCACAGACCTGTTAGTTTCAGCGGATTTCAGCGCAGCCAGGCCATAGCAGACCTGCCCTCGTGGCAGAGGCTGGCGGTTGGTGGTTCCAAGCACACGTGGTGGCGGTTGGTGGTTGAAGTACACGTGTTTCCTCCTCGCAAGTGCACGCGCCGCTACAACTCCTACACACAATAATTGTCCGCTCTATACCTTTATAAGCTATCAGGTCACAGATACACCCATCGTCCAGACATCAGCCACTTGCCCAGTCGTGTAAACGCATCGATAACCACGTATCTGGGCAGATGGACCGCTACAGTGCTGGGTTACTTCTGCTATCTGGGAAGGAAGGGAAGGGCGTAGGGAGGGAGAGATTGGTGAGACGAGCGGGATTCGACTTTAAACTTCTGTGAATCCGGGTTCCTTGTGCAAACCGCCGCAAAATCCGGATCTGGTGCGATCTAAATCCGGATCTGGTCCGATCTATAGTAACCGTGAAATCAACCCCTCCTCGTCCGGACAAGGAGGGGTTGATTTCGTGAAATCAACCCACGAACAAGGACGGGGTGATTTCTCGGTTACTACAGATCGCACCATGGAGAACTGCACCTGTGCTGAGGGGGGAAAGCTTCAGGTTTAGGGTTTAGATATCTTTTGGATAGGCTTTAGGGCGTATGGTTTTGGTATGTGGGTATGTGTTTTTCGGGTTTCTTCAGGCGTATGTTTACTTCGGTATGCGCCGCATGCATGTGTTTTAGAGATCCAGTGCACAGTTCAGATGGCATCCGGGTCTAGTTCACGCCTGGCTCATATTTTCCTTTTCTTCTCGTTCAGGTCCGTGTCACATCTGGCTGAATTTCATCCACAGTAAAAAGCATCTGGCTGAATTTCATTCACAGTAAAAAGCATCTGGCTGAATTTCATCCACAGTAAAAAGCATCTCATTCGTTCGTGGACGTTGTGATCAAGATAATCAACTTCTAAATGAGATTTTTTCTTTTTTCTTTTTTCTTTTTCTTGGGACCATTTCTCGATTTATGTGTGTCATCCTTTTCGCTTAGGGGCCATGCTAATCTTCGTTTTCTGTATCGTTCCAATTTTAACCGGTCCCGTAGGACAAGATGTTTTTTTTTTTTTTTAATTCGGCTGTACCTTATATTTTGTTTGATGGTTGACTTGCGATTTTAATATATCTGTCGTAAATTCTGCACCATTCACCCCCTTCCCCGTCCAGGAATCAATTTCATCTTCCTTTTCTGTTCTTTCCATTTCTTCGCTTCCTTTTTCAAAAGGTTAAGGTTGTGTCGCCCAGATTGAGCTACCGCCTTCACACAAATAGAATGCCCTGTCATTCTCTAAGCATTGCGCTCACCGCTATACAGAGTAAGCGGACTCCAAGAGAGGAGCAAACCGAATTCGGGGAGCAAGCACCTCCCTAACCCCCCCCCACCCCCCCACCCCCCCACAGGAGTTGTCCCAAAAGAACAGCTATAACGACTAGACATGTTCTATTCGGTTTGAAGACTGTAGCAACGACAGTCAAAATAGGTCACAAGCAAGAGGCCCCTCTCGAACGACCTGGCCCACTCACCAGATCTCCCTCCAGCATAATGATGAAGAGTGGGTCATCATTGTTCTCTGCATCGCTACCAGGAGCACCCAGCTTTCCATACGGGCACTCGCTCAGATGCTCAGGGAAGGGGCACGGTTTTCGCACGCTACCGCCTTCATGTGGTGCCAATCGCAGCTTCCTGTCCATCTCATTCTTCCACGTCAGCAAGCACCTTGCCCATTGTACTTTCTGAGCCACGTGAAGAGGATAATTATCCCCTACCTCCTCCTTGTACCGCCAGTGAGCAGCCATTCCAAACTCGGCGCGCTGATGCATATCCACTGTCCGAATCTGCAACTCCAGAGGCCGGCCGTCTTCTATTGACACGATCGTGTGCAAAGACTGGTAGCTGCACCCGTGGTCAAATCGATCACAAGGAACCAACAAAACAGGATCGCACACAAGTCAATACAAGAGTTGGGAGGCTATGCTCGGTCAGCAGAGAGCAGAGTCAAATAGAAACGCCCTCCCACAGACACAAATAACCTTATTAGCCGCGATCTGCCCGTCGCGGTAGACAAATGCTGCAAAACGAGAGGAACAGTCAAATAGAAACGCCCTCCCACAGACACAAAACAAATAACCTTAGCCTCGATCTGCCCACCACGATAGACAAATGCTGCAAAACGAGAGGAAAGGCGAACCATCTTGCACAGTGCACACACTCACCCGTTGCCCTTCGGGTTCTTGATGTAGTCCTTGGATCTCCCAGGTACTTCCTTCCACAGACCGCGAACCACTTCCAGTGCAGCATAGCAGTCAGATTCGTTATGAACGATCAATCGCAGGCCCCGGACATCAAATATTTCATCTATGCCCCTCCCCTTGCTGCCAAATCCCAGGATGTGGACCACCATGACACAACAGACAAACCACCAAAACGTACAAAACACACAAGCACAGTCAGTTACTGTCAACTTAGGATGTTATGGACTCCTACTATTTAGGATATTGTGAACTCGGAAAAAAAAAAAAAAAAAAAAGAAGATATATTGTGGACTCCTACTAGAGATCTACCAAAAAAAGAAAAATAAAATATATTGTGGACTCCTACTAGAGATCTACCAAATTAGGACAGCATGGGCTTCTACTACCCAAATTAGGACAGCATGGGCTTCTACTACCCAAATTAGGACAGCATCGGCTTCTACTACCTAAATTAGAACAGTTCGGACAACTTTTAACGCATCTCTCCCCCCCCCCCC